AAAGAACTTTTCCCGGTGGACATTATGACTCTCTTGGTGGTGCCGTTACCATTATGGGGCGTGAATGCAAAAAGCCCTTAGATATAAGAGTTAAGTGTAAAGCATGTGCCACATGCGATAAAGGAGGACAAGACAAGGACCATGATTGTTATAAAAACTTTAACAGAGGTAAAGCCTCCTCATTAATGGAGGCTGAAGGAATTGTTGAAGCTTTTCAAAATAGTTGGGAGAAACATCAATTGGTCTATAAAAATTTTGTTGGTGATGGAGACAGCAGCGCTATGTGTGCTCTTTTAAAATCTAATCCCTACGCAAAATTTGACGTCACTGTCAAGAAGCTTTCTTGCATAAATCATAAGCTAAAGAACCATACTAAATACTGCAAGAAGGTTAGTCCAAAATTTCCGTCTGTCAAAAAAACATTGTCTATAAAAGCCCGAAAAATTGTTATAAAGAAAAAAAGACACAATATTATCAAAACGAAATCGTCTATTACCATTTTAAAAAGAAGGATGCTTAAGAAACGCATGACAAAAGCTCGTCAAATCTTAAGCAAAAATGTACATAAATTTCGCAAGGAGATAAAAGCTGCTGCAAGAAGAAGAAGAGAGGATAGTTCACTGACATATGACATGAAGATTGAGCTCCTTAAAAAAGATATAATGAATGTGCCACTTCACGTTTTTGGTGATCATAAACAATGTTCCACATTGGGTGGCTGGCCATGCATGGAAGATGTAAACGACATTTTAAAGAAGTCCAAGGCAAATGAGGAAGTAATTACTGATGGTAATGATGACAATGACGAAGAAAAAGAAAATGTTATTTCTTTACTAGAAGAATTTGATATTCTTCCGCAACTCGTACGATTGCACGGACGATTGTTTTTGATTCTTGAAAGTTTATTGTTAGATACTACAACCAATTTAGTAGAGTCTTTAAATGCTCTGATTTGCAAACACTGTGCTGGCAAAAGACTCTCTCTATCTTTGACTGGCAATTACGTTGCTAGATGTCACTGTGCAGTAATTGGTTGGAGTACTAAGCGCACTCAGTCTGTTGTAATAGAACATTCTGGCAAAACAGTACCGGAGTCCGTGCGTATAATGGAACAAAAAAGGGAAGAAAAAGTTAACAGAAATAAGCAGTACAACAGCAAAAAGCGAAGAGACAAAAAAAGTAACAAATATAACGACAAGTATTACGGTTTATTGGCAGAGAAAGATGATATGGACGACGATATGTACGAAATACAAAAAGAAATATTTCTCCAGACATTAAAAACCTATCAAAAAAATAGAATTTCTATTGCTGAGCGTACGGTCGATCAACATTTAAATGATGAGTGGAAAGAGTATCACCGAAAATTGGTTACGGCCAGCGCATTCGGAGAGATTTGCAAGCAAAGAAAAACAACATCTCCCAGTTCCTTAGTAAAAAAAATATTGTACCCATCTACTAAGGATCCTTCCTCTGCTGCTACTTATGGCCTGGAAAATGAACAAAATGCAAGAGAGTCATTAATGAAGAAGATAGGTCATCCTGTAGAACCCACTGGCATTTGGATTGATCCAGAATCGGAGTACTTAGCAGCATCACCAGATGGTCTTATTAATGTTGATTTAAAAGATTTGCGTGTCTTTGGTTCGAAAGCTAAAGGAAAGAAGCCCACTTTCTCGTACAGCATTTCAGAAGGTGGAGTTGTAGAAATCAAATGCCCTCAGAGAGGAGAGGATCTTACACCGGATGATGTTATAACAACATATCCTGATTTAAGGAGTGTCTTTGACAAAAAAAAACCTAACTTCTATATGAATAAAAGGCATTCATTTTATTATCAGATTCAAGGACAGTTACATATTACCAGGAGAACTTGGGGCCTTTTTGTATTATGGACTCCTCTTGGCATGAAAAGTATTTTTGTCTGGAGAGATGATGATTTCTGGAAGAAGAAGATGGAGACACATCTGACACGCTTTTATTTTGACTGTATACTTCCAGAAATAATTGACAGTCGCATTTCTAGGAGTAGACCTATCCGAGGGCTTGAGGAAATCAAGAAAAAGGCAAATAAAAATAAATCCACTATGGAAAATAAAGATAAAGTAAACGAATGTAAAAGAAAGGCAGATGACGTGCTGCTGGAAGTTGAAATGCTCTCTTCAGAAAAAAAGATGAAAAAGGTAAGCATGGAGGTTGATACGCCGTCTAAGAAGAAAAAGGAAAAGAATTACATCATGCTAGCTTGGGCTCCGAAAGATTTGAAACATTGCTTGCAATATGTTACTAAAAAAACGGAAAGGTTAGACGACGAAGCTTTGGATGCGTTTTTGGAAGTTTTACGAATACATTCCAACTTGGAGACGTTGAGCGTTTTAAATATTACGAAACAGATATTTGTTCCTGAATGTACAAGTAATCGTGATGCTCAAATTGTTGGTGGAAATTGCATTGATCACTGGCGAACATACTTTTACACAGATGGCAAACTCACAATTTTTGACAGTATGTTTGAAAACCTGGTTTACGACAATCTCCATTCAGATGAACATTTATTTATAAAAAAGCGATATCCGAAGTTGTCTCCAAAGGACATACATATTCTTTTAGTTCAAAAACAGCCTGACGGTTATTGTTGTGGCGTGGAAGCGGCAGCACGAGCTACAAGCATAGGTTTGGGTAGAGATCCATTTACAGATAAGTTTTCTCGTGATGTTATGAAATTAAGAGAGCATTTTGCAAATATTATAACTACGAGAAGGTTAACAGCTTTTCCTGAATTTTAAGATCTTTTTGAATTTCAAATATTATACAGAGTAAAATTAATGATTGCAAACACTCAAAAGAAAACAATGTTTACTAAAGTGTCGAGTATCATGCAGGCATGCGTATGATATATTCGAATATGTCTTGAGAATAAATTATTAATACAATAAATTTTGTTTTTTTCAGGTGTTCATCGCTATGATTGAAGAGTAACATTGTATACGTGTAAATGCAATGGAAAAATATCCTCTTACTCTTGAAATTAAATTTGCATGTTTAATTTCATGTAAATTACATTTTATTTCGACTGAAGGGAATAAAATAATCATGCTTGCATTATAAATATTTGCATAGTAATTTAAAATACGTCATTTCATTAGGAAAATGTAGTACCATTTTATTTGTGTACGAATTGTAATGACGGAAAAGAAACGGCGCAGAAATAGTGTTTTACATTAGAAATTAATTCTAAATAAATAATAATCTGCAAAAGTTTACATACTGTATTTAACATGAAGGTCTTAATTCATGTGCGTTTCTTTTGAATTTGACTAAAAGAGTCAAAATAATCATGCTTTCATGAACATGATAAATATTTGCATGGCTTTGCAAATACGCAATTAAAATATAGGCATTTTTTATTTTGTTTATGTGCCATATTCTTTTCATTAATAATGACGAAAAAGGAACGATAAAAAAACTTAAATTTTAAATTGGCACTTCTTAAATTTTACAATTAATTTGTAATGACGTACATATTTTGTACTAATTACATGAAAGTTTTAATTCATGTACGTTCCTTTTTATTTTGACGAAAGCAGTCAAAACGATCATGCTTATACCTATAGCCATGAAAATAAGTCTATGTATTTTGCAAATCCGTATTAGAAGGAATGTCATACAACTTGGATATTGAATTACCAAAGTATACAATATGACAATTTTTAATAGGTTTAAAGTAATGTACATTTTATTTGCTTTTTTGTTAAAAGAATTGAAAGAAATATTTTCTTACATTTAAAAATGAAATTTCAATAATGTACATTTGTATTTGATACATGAATGCACATATATAATTCAAAAGTTTTAAATGCAAATATCAAATTTTACAATAATGTACATACATGAATGTCTTATTTCATGTTACGTTCCTTTTGATTTTAACTAAAATAGTTAAAATAATGATGTTTGCATATACTTGATAAATATTTTCATTTTAATTGCAAACACGTCATTTATTTTTAAAATATTTATTAATTCTTTTTCATATTTACAATATTTTTATAGATTTACAATAATAGAAAGGAAACGATGTTAAAATTAAATTTTATTATACAAGTGTTGAAAAACAAAATACGCAAATGCATTTATTCAATATATTTAAATTATTTTACATTTAGTTCTTTGTAGGTAAAAAACTGCAGAAAATACAACTTAGGTGTGTAACGCCCCGTCTGATTCTGGTCTGGCTGAATTGTATTTAATATAAGGTCAGATCTCAATCGAATGGTGTGTTGCATTCCAAATCAACAGAACAACTCACCGTGAGTATGGTATTATTATTACATTCAAAATAAAGAAACTGATTTTTAAAAAATATTAATTTTGTCTTTATTCTATACCTTTTCTGATATCTATAATAATCGTCGTATTCATGGATTATTAAACTTCAAAATTGATTTCCTTATAAAGCTATCAGTTCAATGTAGGATTATACATTCTTCTAAAATTCTCTAACATAGTCACATTTTATTTTACGGCTAGATTAGTTTTAATTATTTAAACATCACAGGTTTCCATAATTTAATTAATTAAGTAATTAATCAAAAGGTTAATGCATAATTAAATATGTATTTTTGTTTTTTAAATAAATGTTGATTTGTTTTAAAAGAAGTTTCTTTTAATGTAAATATTTAAGAAAATTTAATTATGTTAATGTTATATTAATAGATTGTGCATCAAAAAGTTAATTGTATTTTGAGATTGATGAAACTTTTAGAATGTAGTTGTTTTTGAAAAATTTGCTTCTCTTTATAAAGTACTTAATTTTTAAAAAAAAACTGTATACTTTTCAAGATCGGAATATTTTAACCTTCAAAATTTGAATACAAGTGATTTAGAGAAATGTTTACTATCTTTAACAAAAGTCAACAAATTATTAAAAATGAATTTGAATATTTTTTAGTATTTATTTATTTTATTTATTGTTATTTATTTATTTTACATCCCTCCAACTTACAAATGTAATTGACAAAATAAAAGAACAGGTATTTTTTCTAATAATAATAATTATAACTCCCACCTCTACCGCCACGTCCACCTCTACCGCCACGCCCATTCTTACCACCTCGTTGAAAATTATTTTTATAATAAAGTTGTTTTTTCATAACCTGAAAAAATAGTATTACTCAGAAAATAGCAAATAAGGAACTTGGAAAAAAAGTGTGAGATGCCTTAACCTACCTTCAATTGTTTCTTTAGATTTTTCTCCCTTTCCGTTTCGTGGAGAGGATTTGGGTACGGCCCTATGTTGGAAGATTTATCAAAAAAAGATGGTTCCAAAGATGTTGACGGATTTTCTCTAAATATATTGTTCTGCGCTTCCAATTGACGTCGTCTTGATTCCGCTGCACTCTTTTCTGCCTGAAAGGCCGCCACTTCAGCCTCTTTCGCCTGTCTTTCGGCGTGTTCCAATCGATTCATATCATTTATAATTTTTTCCGATTCTAGTAATAATTTATTTGCTTCTGTTTCTCTCCTTTGAGCATTTTCTAGACGTTTTTTTGCTTGTAAAATGCGTTCATTTAATTCTGCTTTAATTTTCTCCTCCTCTTCTTCCTTCTTTGCCTGTCTTTTGGCAGCTTCACGTTTTTCATGTTCTTCTTCTGCCATTTTTTTAGCTAACTGAGCCTCTCTTTCAGCATCCTGAGCCTTCCTTTCGGCTTCCTGAGCCTTTTTTTCTGCTTCAATAACATCTGTTTCAGACAATTTCTCTACGTCATCAACTAATAATTTACTACTGTCAGACGATCCTATAAAAAAGATAATAATTGTAGACTTTGAACCTATGTTACTTTAGATATTTTTTTTCCAAAGGCACAAACGTTGCGCTTTTAAGTTATCTGACTTCCGGGTGAAAAAGCTATTCATTTATTCTTCCGTTTGAAAATGGCGTCCATTTTTACCCTAGGGCAAAAATAACGCATAGGCCAGCTGTTCATTTTTACCCTAGGGCAAATATGAACGCCATTTTCAGACGGAAGAATAAATGATTGGCTTTACACCCTGTACGTCAGGTATCTAAAAGTGCCACGTTTGTGCGTGAGGCAAAAAAATATATATGAAGCGGCACGAAGAAAGAGACCTAAGAAGAAAAAAATAATTGATTATGTTTTAAAAATTTTAAGTGAAAATGCACAAAGAGATTCGACTTACAATGTAAATCAGTGATATTTAAATTTTCAGTACATCAAAAAATAATAAAATAAACTTTTAATCAAAGTAAAACTACTGTTAACGTAACCTTCCATTTTTTCTATTTAGGACTCATGAATATTCCCCATATTTAACTTGCAAAAATTTTTGTGTTGTCATGTCTTAAATAATCGAATTTCTGTTCAGAAAAATTGAATAAAGTGGATTTTATAATTAGCAAAATTTTTACAGTGAATATTTGATATTTTAATTGATATTTCAGTGAATTAAAATTTAATAATAAATAAATTACTATTTAGCCGAACTTTTATCATGCACTCGACAGAAACATTTCAGCAGCAGTTTTAAAATCAACCAATCAAAAGTTTCTTAAGGATTTTTGATTGCTTGATTTTAAACATCCCGCTGAAATATTTCGGTCGAATTTATAATCGAATATGTGAAAGTTTTGTCAGATGAGAATTCGACGTTTTAAAAAGTCTCTAAAATAATAATTTTGACAAATGAAAGTTCGGTCCAATTGAGTTTCGGTGAAATAGAAATTCTCTTACGTACAAATTTAATTTAGTGCAATATTTGTTTAATTAGAATTCTGTTAAATAGAAATTAGTTCAAAATAAAATGTTCTTTAATAAAAATCTTATCAATTAAAAATTTTGAAAAATTTTAATTTTGTTGAATGTAAACTCCTGTAATAAAAGTTATGTTAAGTAAAATATTCGGATAAATCGAAATTCAATAAAATAACATTTTTGTTAAATAAGAATTATTTTTTGTGTCAATTTTTGTAAACATAATTTACGTTAAATTGAAACTGCATTAAAAATCTTCTTTTATAAAATTTCGAATCTGATTTCAATTAAATAACAATTATTCGATATAGAAATTGTGCTTATTGTAAAATCCACTTAATAAAATTTTGTTGAACAGAAATTCGATTTTTTAAGATTCAACAACACACAAATCCTCCCTCCTATGTAGGTCTTTTTCTTCGTGACGGGTCACATATTTTTTAGAAAACATACTTTGAGATCTGCGAGTGTTCATTTCGTGTTGAAAAATCGAACCTAAAAAGGAAAAAAAGCAGTTAATAATAATAAAATCGTATAATATATTTCTGTTACATAATTAAATTTTAGAAGATAAAAGAAACTCGCATTTTGTTAAGAAAGGTAAAGAAAATCGGAAAAGTTACATTTAATCAAAATAAATATAACACAGTCGCATTTATTGAAAAAAGTCGATAGAAGTTAAAAAAATCGTACAATTCGAGGCCTGAACTATTAATTAACCATAACCTGCAGTAAAAAACATTTTTAAAAATATTTAATTTTTGTTGATACGAAACTATTTCAGCCATAATTTTTTTGTTTCACTAAATTGCTCTAAACTTCGATTATTATAGAAGAATTTTATTAAAATTATTAAAAATAATTTATTTTTCTATTTATTATTTTCCTAAAATAAGTTATATATGAAGATTCGCTACAATTTATACTAAAACACTTATTTCGATAAAAATAACTTTTTAAAAAATATAAAATTTTATTAAAATAAGTAAAATATCTTTTTGTTATTTGGAACCGGAGTTTACATGTTCATGGTTTTAGTATTTTTATTTCTTTTTACAATGTTATTTTACCAACTGTTTAAGTTAACGAGATAACAAGGTATATATATATATATATTTACATTACTCACCTGAATATTTAAATCAATATTTTCTTTGGAGAAGCAGGTTTTTACCTCAAAAGAAAAAGAGCGTAATGACTATTAAATTAACAATTGTCGAAAGACTACTTGGTCTATTCTCTATTCACACAACCATTTTGTATACACATCAGGGATGAGAAACTCCGTCAATTAGATGAGGCCGGCGTAAAAGCGGAACGAAAGAGTTAGTGGGACATGTTCATCTCTTTCGTTCACATGATTTCCGCTTTTATGCTGATTCTACACTCACCGAAAACTGAGCGAGCGGTCCGCTTTTCCGTCACGCTTCCCATATTCAACTATATCTATATATATAAAAAACGTAACGCAAATGCGGACCGCTCGCGCAGTTTTAGGTGAGTGTAGAATCAGCATTACGCCGGCGTTTTACGCTGTCATGGGACGGCGCCTGTAGGGTACGGTCACAACTTAGCACTTCATTATTCACATTACACAATAGATATTGCAGAACAACTAACATGGATAAATTTATTTTACCAATGGGACTATAAATGTGATTTATTTAATTTAGTTATTTTTGGTTAGCTTAATGTCCTTATGTTTACAAAAGAAACGAATTTCTAAAAATGTCTTCCATTATATAATGTGAAATTTTTAAACAATATTCAGAAACCGTATATTAGCAACAAAATTAAATACTATAAATATAAGAAACTGCAATTATTATGTCCACAAAACACACACGTGAAGAAATATGAAATACACATACGTGTCAAGGGAAATTTGTCAGAGCTTTCGGAAATGAGGATTTTGTAGACGTTGTAAATAGATACTTGACAAATAGGTTCTTTTTTTTTGTTTTTAGCGCGATAAAATAAGATAACTTGTCAAATTTTGTCACCCAATAGAGGTGTTTTTCATTTGTGATTGCGGGCATTTGAAAAATAACCGATGCAAAAGAAAACATTGTGAAACGGCCTTAAAAATATTTTTGTTAACAGCCAACCAGCCAGTTTACTTCAAGTATTTATTAACTAAGCGTTTAAAATCCCAATTCGAAAACGGCCCTTGTTTTTTCTTGCGAGAAAAGGACACTAAAATACGCTTTATCAAGTATGCGCTAAATATCTTAATTTGAAAATGTCCCTACTATAACAAACTAGTGAAAATGGGGTCTGCTGGAAATAGACTTATATCGTCACACATCAGGTTGGTTTCCATTGTCCCCACTCGCCATTTGGCATAATTCACGTCAACTACCGCACCCTGCTCAAGTGAAAAAGTGACTTTATTGTTAAAGTTAAAAGTTACCAAATTTTTACTAGAGCAGGGTGCGGTTTTTGACGAGAATGGGCCAACGCAGAATGAAATCTCTAATCGTAATTTTAAGATTTTACATGAGAGAGAAAAGAACAAAAGATATTTCTATCCTTTTCTCTCTCATGTAAAAGCTTAATATTTACGATTAGAGATTTCATTCTGCTTATGCCTAATTATGACAAATGGCGAGTGGGGACAATGAAAACCAACCATCACCAAAATATACAAAGGCAAAGAAATAGAAAGAAATAGTTCGCTTTTCATGCGCTTACAGACTTGTACACTTATAAGTTGCACAACTTGTCCACAATGAATCATATTCTGGACAACCAATCCGCTTTGTGCATTTTAAAATATGTAAAGTGAAGAAAATTTTTATAGTAGGTGTAACGAAGCTTGCACACTTCACAAATTGTTGAAATACCAAAAACTTTTGAGCGTCTTTCAAGGGTCCTGATGGTATATAGACTGTAACTACAAGATTTCATCAGTAAGAATAGGAAAGAAATATCTCTTTCCCTTTCTTTCTAATGTAATTTTGTAGTTATTCTATATACTATTAGGACCTATACCACATCTAAGTGTACTATCTTAGATTCATTTCTTTTTTATTGTCCTAGCAACGTCAACAAAATGTCGAATGGACAAAATGTCAAACAGACATAATCTCGAAAAGCCAAGACGTCGAACAGCCAATACGTCGAACTGACAAAATGTCGAAAAATTTTATTGAAGTAACTATAATAATTATACTTAGTCAATAAAATTTTCGAAATTTTGTCAGTTCGACGTATTGGCTGTTCGATGTTTTGGCTTTTCGATATTTTGGCTTATCGATATTTTGTCGGTTCGATGTATTGACTGATCGACTTCTTGGCTTTTCGACATTTTTTACCGTTCGACGTATTGGCTTTTCGAGGTTATGGCTTTTCGACATTTTGTTTGTTCGACGTATTGACAGTTCGATGAAAAGCAAGCGTCTCAAAATTATGCATTGTAGACTCTCCAAAATGTTCGCATTATTATAAACATTCAACTGTACTGAAATATCTGCCCTAAAACATTAGCACATTTTAGACATTTAACTCTAAATATTATACTTTCACTATAATTTATGAAGCTGTGTACGCCCCTTGTTTTTTCACATTATGATCGCACTTTTAGTATAATCGAGTGTCCGACATTTTTAAATTCATTTCATGCTTATAGGCCTAAGCGCAATAGAAACGTAACCGGAATCGCAATCGGAAGAATTAGTAAGGCTAGTTCCAGAATCTCCATTCTGCAAACGCAGACGCATCCCAAGGCCGTTTCCGAATTGGGATTTTTGTCGCACTTTTGATAAAGTGTATACTTGGGAAGTATGTAGTGTCCTTTTTTTCGCACGGAAAAACAACAATTTATGACTATCCTTCTCTAACCCATTCTTCCGTATACGATTGCGATTACGTTTCTATTAGACCTAAGCAGAATAGTTTCGCGAAAGACGTTCGCGAACGTGAAACATGAGTTAGAAAAGGACTGAGATATATTCGTATCCTTTTTTATCTCATGCATCTCGTTCGCGAATCTATTGTGCGTTGGCCTATTCTGCTCAGGCCTTATCAGCCAACGCACAATAGCTTCGCAAAAGTCGTTCGCGAACGAGATAAATGCGTTAGGCAAAGACAGAAATATATTCCCTTCCTTTTCTATCTGATAAATCACGTACGTGAACGTAAAATATGCGTTCGAAAAGGACACAAATATACTCGTATCCTATTCTATTTCATGCATCACGTTTACGAACCTATTGTGAGTCGGCCTTTATGACTTATTTATTTCATCATGAGGAAGATGAAAAACTTAAAAAAAATAAATAAGAATTTTTGTAAAAGCAAATAACCATTTTTTGTTACACATGTATTTGAAAAAAATTATTTAAAATAATTAATTATTTATTTAATTTTTTAAACAATATCTCAATTAAATAAATTATCAATTGCAGTAAAAAAAATTTAAGAATTTAAAAGCTTTTTATTGAAATAATTATAATTTTGTGTAAAAAATTGATCGAATTTATAAATTTGAAAAAAAAATAATTCTTATGTCAACTAAACTTTTTTATAGAGTTATAAAAAATTGTTTTATAATATTGGAAATCATTCGAAATAACGGCTAATAATGAGTTTAGTTAGATTGGTGAGCACTCTCATCTCTGGCTGCCTACACAGGCAGCCTCCCACCACACAGAAAACGTACAAGAGTAAGAGAGACAGAAAATTTAAATCAACTGACTCTCTGATTGGCTCTCACTGGCTGCCTGTGCAGGCAGCCAGAGGTGTGAGTGCTCCCTTATTCTCCTAACAGAGCCATCTAGTGAGAGTTAGCGGAATTTTCAGCAAATTGACTCAATATGGTGTCATGTCAACACGATCGTGGTATTGATATGTTACGGGTGCTTTTTTGCATACAGAATATAATTTCTTTTTCTTTTTTTGACTAAACATATGTACGGTAACCAAATTTTACTTATGTTTTTACCATTTTAACGAAAGAAATGTTAAAATTTTACTTTCTTTCTAAATGAGAACTGCGACAAATTTCAAGTCGTGATTGTCCGTGCAATCGAGTTTTACTGATATCTTTATTACTTATAAGGTAATTTATGCTTTTTTTAATAAAAAAAATATACGGTAACCAAGTTTCAGTTGTGTTATTATGATATCCGCAGAGAAAATCCCAAAATATCTTTTTCTTTCTAAATGGGAACTGCGAAAAATTTCAAGTCGTGATTGTCCGTGCAATCGAGTGTTACAGATATCTTAATTATTTATAAGGTAATTTATGCTTTTTTTAATTAAAAAAATATACGGTAACCAAGTTTCATTTGGGTTATTATGATTTCCGCAAAGAAAATCGCAAAATATCATTTTCTTTATAAATGAGAGCTGCGAAAAACGAATCGTGCAATCGTGTTTCATTGATGTTATAATTATTTATAATAAGGTAATTTATGTTTTTTTTATAAAAAAAATATACGGTAACCAAGTTTCATTTGGGTTATTATGATTTCCGCAAAGAAAATCGCAAA